GACTAATAGCGAGGACGGGGGGGGGGGGGGGGGGTTGAATAAAGTATCCAGTTTGTCTTTGTGCGTAATATTTTGTGAGAATAGATGATCTAATATACCAGTTAAAAATGAGAGAGAATCTCAGTTCACAACCTAAGGAGGATTTCCTCCCTACCTGAAATTTTTACATGCACAATTGCACACGTGTGAGGGACACTTCTGCAAATACCTGGTTGACAGCTTACGACTCCCAATTAGAGAACAAGAAGATCTAAATACACTAAGATTAGGGATTAAAGAATCAATGGTATTTTGGAGATCCCATGATATACCACCCCCACCGGAGCATCTTGACAAGGAGATGACTGTATTCCTTTCTTTTGTGTGTGTGGATAATTATCGGTATTCTAATTCATGGGGAAATGAACTACGTTATTCTCTAGAAAACTACAAAATTACCCGCAATAACAGGGCACCGAGAGATTACCTTTGCTGCCTTAAAGAGTTCATCAATCACTTCAGACAAGGTTGGATGCGCATGAACAGCATACTTGATGTCCTGCAAGATGTGAAATGATAAAGCAAAATGCGATAATGTTGTTAAAACTGTAACTGGCATATATTTTCTTTTACACTAGAATCATGATGCTGGAATCCAGCTGAAGATCACAATTGATTGCAAAAAAAGAAATAGAATTTCGTTATTGAAAGAAAACATGACCCTTCCATCATCCCACACCCTCAAAGCAAAAAGTAAAAAATTGGAAAAATAAAATAAAATCTTATCCAATACCAAAAACCTCTAACCAAATCAGTTGAAAATCTTTCCAGGAACTGTTTATGGGGAATATGCAATGGAAGGTAGTGTCTACCTGTATACATGTTTATCTTGTGAGGAGAAAATGCAATGGAACTTAATGTCTACCTGTATGCGTGTTCCCAGAGCTATGGCGTTGGATGCTTCATGAATGAGGTCAGCAGCATGCATTCCAAAAATGTGAACACCGAGGATCTCCCCACTGTCGGGTCTATATATCAACTGCATTGGACAAACGTTTCAATGAACAAAAACAATCCTACTAGTCTTGGGAAACTAGAGACAGACTAAAACCACCAGATTTAAAAACAAACTGCAAGAAGTAGCTTGTAATCATATACTAGTCCATGAAAAAAATCAATTAGAAAAGATCATCACGGCCACCTTTGCAAGTCCCTCCCCTTCATTTTCAGCAAGGGCTTTTGTGTTGGCCTTGAAACTAGTCTTGGCTATACCAATCTCAAAGCCCTCCTTTTCAGCCTTTTCTCTAGCTTGAGGCTGCAAGATTGCAAGAAAATAATGAAAATTCATAACTAAAAATAATGCAACCCGTAATAAAAAAGACAGATTGAATGTTAACAAGTTAGAGAAAGCGGAATTTCCACTATAAATACAAACATGCTTCAGCGAGTTTGCATACACATCAAGTGTATGTAGGCGAATAAAATAGGCACACTTGTGTAAGTTCCAGCATACTGTATCAGACAATTATACAAGCAGACTCATTAACCCTAACTTTTATTTAATATATGCTGAACATCCTAAAAATGCAAACGTATTGCTGCAGTAAATTTTTCCTTCTGGTGCTATATAAATGAAATGAGACAACATTTAAAGAGCAAATAATCCAGATGCAACCAGTAAAGAAAGTGCATAAGGAAACACAGACTATACACCAAAAAAAAGTTACTATACCTCTGTTAATCCGACCATACTGATTTCAGGATGGGTAAAGCATGCAGCTGGAATACTTAGATGATTCAGGACATGGTCCTTGCCAGTAACTTGCTCAACAACTGTAGAAGAAGTAAGGACAAATGTTAAACAATTACAGGAAAATTTTCTTGATGATAATCATAGCAGTTGGTATCACATGATATCGTTACCAGAGATTCCTTGTGCACTTGCAGCATGTGCAAGCATCATTTTTCCATTTGCATCACCAATGCAATACAAGTGGGGAACCTAGTGACCAGAAAGCCTAATGAGTTGAAAGAAAATTGTCTAGAGTACGTAAAGAGAACATTAATCATGCCTACCAACTCTCCGCTGGCATCAATGACACGCATGCGACTATCAACAGGAACAAATCCACGTTGTGTTTGAACATTTATCTGTTTATAAAACAATAATATGAGATGTCATAACATTTATAAAGTTCATCTCAATAAACATTCACGCCACTAACATTTTCCAGGCCAAGTCCTTGAGTGAATGGAGCCCTTCCAGTTGCAATTAAAGCAGCATCTACCTGTAGCAGAATAAAATAATTTGAGAACATATAAGATGCTAGTGACAGGAATTGTGTATGCAGAGAAGTATATAAGTTGTGGAAAACAAGATCTTAAATCTGATTACAGGGAACAAAACAAAGTTTTTCTCCCTCTTTTGATGTTCATTAACACGACTCAGAAAGACCTATCTGCATAGTCCCTTTTTTCCTCTTGCATAGTTTAAAATGATGTGTTGAAAGAATGTTGATTAAATTGATACAGTTTACTAGTAATTAAATTATCCAATACCATAGACTTAAGTTGTGCACTTATTTACTCGTATTACAATCACAATGTGCTTATCAAGTGTATATCTTGCAATGAAGTACCTATAAGACAGACCAATCCAACTGTTGTTGTTTTTCGATAAACAGCTTAGTCCAACAATGTTAACTTAATGATGAATGAGACCTATGATGTTGCAGAAATACTAAATAAAGGTACTTTTACAATCCCCAAACTTTAAATTTATTAATTTGTTTATTGTTGGATATGATTTAGAATTTATTATCTTAACCAATAACCATGATCTAAGACCAAAAGGATAAAGCTTCCATCCAAAAGCATGAATGTGAAATAACAATGTTAAACTCTTTTGGAAGAAAAGCGACAACTTACTTCCAATGTATCCTTCAGTTCCTTAGTCTTTGCATCAATAAGCTCAATAGTCACTGGTTTTCCATCCTTTGCTGGAGTTATCTGAAAAAGGTGCAAC